TGTGTCTGGCAAACGCAAAAACCAATCCATCTGTGAGGTTTCAGTATGCAGCTATCTTCACTCAACATGTCTATGTGTCCGGCAACCTTCAATACAAATCAACCTGTGAGGTTTCAGTATGTGTCTTTCCTCACTCAAAGCGTCTGTGTCCGGCACTATCCAATATCACCCAACTCGTGAGGTTTCAGTATGTAGCTATCCCCACTCAGCACGTCTATGTGTCTGGCAAACTCAAAAACCAATCCATCTGTGAGGTTTCAATATGCAGCTATCCCCACTCAGCGCGTCTATGTGTCTGGCAAAAACCAATGCATCTGTGAGGTTTCAGTATGCAGCTATCCTCACTCAACACGTCTAGGTGTCTCGCAATCTCCAATACAAACAACCTGTGAGGTTCAATATGTGTCTATCCTCATTCAACGCGTCTATGTGTCCGGCACTCCAACATCACTCAACCCGTGGGGTTCCAGCAGCTATCCCCACGCAACCCGTCTATGTGTCTGGCAATCTCAAACCTCCCCTTTCCGTGGGGTTTCAGTATACAGCTATAATCACTCAACACGTCTATGTGTCCGGCAATCTCCTACATCACTCAACCTGTGAGGTTTCCGTAAGCAATCCTCACTCCACGCATCAATGCGTCACGCGTCTTTGGTAGCGCATACTATGGGGGCTATATTTGGGGTGGCGTGTTTTACAGCGCTTTGCCAACAGCGCCAACCCACGTAAGTCTAGATTGCGGGGGGGGGGGGGGGTTCTTGAAATGCTGCGCCTTATGAGACGGTATTGTCCCGCCAAGAAAACAAACTGTAGTTACCGGGGAAGCCATGGACGCATGAAATGGGCCAAGTTGGCTGACCGTGCAGCACACTCTTGCCTGGTTGTTGTTGTTGTTGTTGTTGTTGTTGTCCTCCTCAAATTAAAAGTAAATGACTACTCCGGTCCTGCTCAGAGCCTCCCAACATCCGCAACCGATGCGAAACTCCTTCCGTGATCACAGGTGGGCCCGTAACAAATCTAAGTACCCGAGAGAAGAAAAACAAGAAGCCAAACGCCTTTATGCGTTATCTCACACTATCGAAGAAGTTGGTGGGGGCACCGGCGTCGAGCAAGGATCGGGCGAGCGCGCCGTCATCGTCCGCGTTTCGCGCACAATCTCGGAGAGGGCCTTGTAACCAACTCCGCGACGCACCCGTTTCCTGAACCTGGAGCGGTTGCGGCTGGTGGGTTGAGGGGGGGGGGGGCG